AAAAACGTTAATCAAAACCCATATAAACAAGCACACAGATTCTCATAGATCACGATTGATGTACAGAAATATAAAAGAAAATAGCTTGAAATGGGGTTGATTGCATAAATTACGACTTTTTCATTTGGCAGAAGCTTTGAAATCAAGTCGACTCAAACACCCATATACAAAAATCGAACACACGCAAAACACAAACACCGCCTCCATTTTATAGAAATGGAAAGAAATCAAGAACAAATCGAGCAAATCTAGAAGCAAATATAAAAATTGCAGTCAGAAAAATCAAGAAGGAATTTGATGTCGTCATCTGAGAGGGGGAAAACTCATCGGACAATCTATTTTGAGATGAGAGGAGCAAAGTAGCAACATGAGAAGGAATTTGATGCCGTCATTTGAGAGGAGAGAACTCATCGGGCAATCGATTTTGAGATGTGGGGAGCAAGTAGCTTCACGGCGCTTGATATTTAAACTGTTGTCTTTAGGGTTTGTTGGTGTCATGGGCCGTCGAACGAGCCGCACTTGGGCTGGGCTGGGCCGGGCCTAGTTGTCACTTTTTTGTCAGACGTATATTATTTTATTCATCATTATTTTATCACCAATCTTTAACCTTGTCAGTTAACAACCATCACCAAATCATGTGAGATCCAACCATCAACCACCATCTCACCACTTGCAATCAATGCAAGTTGTGGTTTGCAAAGGTTGAAACGCTCAAAGGTGTTAATGGTTATGGTGTTGTCTAATAATGACATGTTTTTGTTAGATCTGAAGAAACTAATGTTATTACTGATAGTTTGATGGATCTGTCTGTTAGATATTTGATTCTTCACTAAGATGTTATCTGATAATAGATTTGATTTTATATTAGTTTTAAATAATAGTTATTTTTCTGTGGTTTGTTAATAATTTATATTTTTGTCCCTATAGTTTAGAAATTGTGATATTCATCCTTATGGTTTGCAATGTATTGTTATTTTCGTCCTAGAATAATTCCTATCTTTAGGCTGCTTTTGGTACATAGGAAAGTACGGGACAAAACTCACTGTCCAACGTTTGGTGCAATATGAAACAGCGACGAGGATTGGGACAGCATAAGACAGAATAGGTTTTTACTTGTTTCACCAAAATAAGTGGAACAAGATATCAAGATGTGATAATAATGAGACTGAAACTAAAATATTACTAACTAACCCTCGTTTGATATATAACCTCAATATGATATTTGTTTTAGTTGGGGCCGCTACCACCATCGGTAGCCACCGTCGGCCGCCTACACCTCCTCTTCCACTACAATAACCTCCTCCACCACATCTACAACCACAGACCACCACCATCCATCGCCACCTCCATAAACATCATCAGCCACCTACCACCATCATCCATCGCCACCTCCAAGACCACCGTCAGCCACCAACCACTACCACCACCGTCGGCCACCTCCACCTCTTCCTCTACTATAACAACCTCCTCCACCACCATTATCACTGTCGGCTACCGACCACCATATCCCACCGCCACCACCACTAGTACCAGTCGGCCAGCTCACCTCCATCTCCACCATAACCAATACTACCTCCACTATAACCATCAGCACCATCATCAACTACCACCACCACTTTCAACAGACACTATTACCATTATTCACCATCTTCACGTCCACCACAGCCACAATCGTCCAATAATCACCAATGCCTCTACTCCCACAACCATTGTTGTTTCAACAATTTTCATCATGCCTCGTCAATTGATAAGGATCTTCCAAACCGAATGAAACATAATTTTTTTCTTTGTGTAAATCATATTTTTTCTTTTGAACTACCATCAAATATATCAAAAAATTTACTCAAATTTGGTGTTATTATATATGTATGTATTCATATATATGCAAATTATGCAAAATGTTTATAAATTAAATTATTTACTTTATTTATGTTCATTATAACTGCTATATGAAATATAAAATCATCAAATAACTTTTGAAACAACTTGTCTAATTCTATCATCTCCGGTCCGGTCCTGGTCGTACCAAACACCAGATAGACATTTGTTTTATCCAGTCCGGTCCAATCATATACATACACGTATCAAAACTACCTTAAAGTACAAGAAACCAAAACAGTAAAAATCTATTAACCACAAGGACTGAAACAACAACAAATTATAAATCATAAGAACGAAAATAGCTATAAATTACAAACCATAGAAACAAAAAGTCATAATTTCTAAACCACAGGGATGAAAATCACGATCTTTTTAACAGATGTCGTCACAACCCAACGTGTATGAGTTGGGTTATTTAAAAGGTGTTTTGATAAGAAACTGTTTGAGATGAAGATGGTAAAATAGAAGGAAAAACCGGTGGCCAGCAAGCATTAGAATTAAGGTAGAGAATAGTAATAATAAAAGCACATCCCTTTTTCCCTTTTTTATGGGGAATAGTAGTAGTAGTAGTAGTTATTATAACAGTTAGATCCAAACCTATAAAGAAAAAAAGCTCAACCGGCATTACACCTTTCTCTATATTTTCTAAATCCACAAGAACCCACCACCGGTTTGGTGCAGCATAGCATCGATCTCATCCCCATCCTCCATCTCCAACTGTCACCAACAATTTCTCAAAGGTCAGCACCTTCATATATACACATACATATCATGGATGTGTGTGTGAGAACGCATTGATACATACATATTCAATATATGTATATGTACTATATATGCATTGGTGCACATACTCACTGCATATGTGAGCTAAGCTGTATTTTGGATTCAAGTGTGTGCATGTGTGAGAGAGATAGAGAGTGAGAAGACCTCATCTGGAGTCTGCTCTGCTCGAAGTCGGCGACCATCAAACAAGAAAGCAATGGAGTTGAGCTCGACGGATTGCCTGTCACAGTATGCGTTCATCAGCTTCTTCAGTTGTGTGCTTCGCTTGATCCTGAAGAACACTTCATTTCCATCCTGTCAAACAACGAAACCACACATTCAGATCATCTTGATGCTACGTGGTATATCATGTTATATCTTATAAAATGCCTGTTTACTGCAGTTAGGTTCAACAAAGAAAGCAAGATCCAGTCAATGCACCATCTGATAAATCTCATAGGGTGCATTTAGTACGTAGACATGACTGGACGGGACTTACAAGAATAAGGTAGGCCGTAGGCGTGAGAAAGAATTGTGGAAGATAAAGTTTACGTTTTACATGGCCACATGGGTAAGTTAGTAATTTACCTATCTTGTCCAAACTCCCTTGTTTTTGTTCCACCTACTTTGGTGGGGCAAATAAACTGCACGTTTGTCCACTCAGTCCTATCCTGTCCCAATCTATTGTCGCAGTGAGACAAGAAGTTTTTGTTGTCTTGTCCCATGTACCAAACGCACACTTAAATCTTGGGTCCGACTCAGATTTACTCAATATTGACAAGAGTCAGATATTTCATTATGGTCATTCTCCCTACAACTCTGATATATCAGTCTGTAAACCAGCATCCTCACTGTGGAGGGATAATGTCAACACATAATTCCATAGAGAGCCAGTATCTTCTTGCATGTTTAGGGAGTGTCATGTGGATACCATCACCATGTGGTATTTCATCATATAAATGAGGTCAGTCCAACAGAGAAAATGAGATCCATTCAATGAACAAACAAATAGGTCTCCGGGATCCTAGCTATCCAACATTCTCATGTTTCAGACATCTCCTTAGGTTCTTTATCCAGTCTGTAAACTAGAATGCTCTCTAGTTTACCTCAAGGGTTTCAGAGTGTCAGTCTGTAAACAAGAATGCTCTCTAGGTGGAATAATATCAACACATTATTCCAGAAGAGTGCCAATATCTTCTTGCATACTCAGGAGGATATGTCTTATGGAGGGCTAAAGAAGCACACAATCATGTTAAAGGCCAAAAAAGTTATATCATGAAACAGGATCTAATTGCAAGATCAAAATGCTTAATTTCAACTTAACTCGTCTTAATGACAAGATATAGACTCACTTCACCACACCCCCAACCCCAAGAAAAAAACATCCAGCTTCTAATAGATTGGCAAGGGAACACTGGTCAGTGATCACTATGTTATACCAAACCAACCACGATTCTTTACCATCATTCGGTCATTCCTATTCCTTTATCATCCAAAACTCCCAACCAAGCACCCTGTAAATTTCAGATACGAACTCATTTCACCGGTAATTAGCTAAAAACTCTTTAAGAATTCGAGGTCAACATACACAATTACACATTTCCGAAACCAAAAAAACGATCAAATAAGTCCATAAGAAGCAAAAAATGGATCAAATGGCGGACAATCGAGATATAAAAACCTAAGAACCCGATACAACGAACCATACAAAATTCATATAGAACCTAAACAACGAAATACATACAGATCCCTAAAAGTTAAATTAACCGAAGAAACTATCATCAAAACAAATAAAACCTAATAGTAACAAAAATATGCGTCGATCTCTTCCAAAATTTACGAGAAAACACACTAATTACAAAAATCATAAGGCCAAAAATAAAGAAATAAACATTAAACCCTAACCTGTCCTTTGACTTTCAAATTGATATGAGCACCTTGATCGCCGGCCGGCTTCTTGTCCTCCTCGTTCGTCACTCCCGACATCTTTTTCTCCGATCGGAAAAAAGTTTTCACTCGCAACTTCTGCTTCTGATCGCTGTTCCGCTGCACTCGTACGCTGATCCTTCTTCTGTGGTGATACTATAAAATATAAAGAGGTCAGGGGGAATAGGAATCAACGGTCCAGATGCGTCCTGATGGATTGTGAAGATCTAACGGTTAGAATTGATCGGTGGACGGTGGGATTAAATTTTTTGATCTGATCAATGTGCCCCCGGGACTTTTAAAGTATCCACGTTCAGCCCCTAGTGATTGAGATAATTAAAGAAATACCTTGTATAAGGTAAAAGATGACGATTGAGTACACTTTGAAAGCTTTGTTAAATTGATAGATGTTTGTAAACAACAAATGGAGACTACAAGTATCGTTTAAGGGTCGTTTACCAAACTGTTATTAGGTATCATTTATCTTACCGAATGAGAATAACAATGATCGAGAATTATATCTGATAAGAAGCATAGCAATAACTAAGAATATTACCCGGTAATTGATGACAATAATCTTACCCAGTAAAAGGATCCCCAAAATGAAAAAAAAAATAGAGATTTTGGGTGTGATTTTTGCTTCAACAGATTTTTTAAAACTTTCTCCAAATGTAGACAAAATTAAGTGAGAGTGTGTAAAAATCTCCAGATTTGGAGAACATTCAAAAAAATGATTACAATGAGAGAGAAGTATTATTTAACATATTTTCACCGATATAAAATTTTGAAAATAAATATTTAGGAAGAAAAATAATATTTTATTTTAATAATATAATCAACGTTATAGTCTTCAAAATGGAAAATTAGTTAGAGCTGAATGTATTTTTGTTTTAGAGATTTTGCAGTTACATTATCTATTTTGGAGAATCTGTTGGAGATACTCTAATTGTTTACTGGATAATAGACGTTTACCAACAATTCATTTTGATAATAAAAAATGTTACCCAATATAACGGATTCATAAGGGTAGTGACCCTTGTCGATATATTTTCAGATAGTAAATTTCAATACAAGGTTCCATATAGTCAAATTATGGATTTGAAGTGAATTGTAACCAATATTTGGTCAAAATCATGCTTGGTTATATGAATCATAACGAATTCAACATTTTGATATATATATATATATATATGTATGTAGAGAGAGAGAGAGGTGGGTTATTATATAACCTCATACATTTGTACAACCAATACAACTCAATCTCAATCATCCATTTAATTTGATGAATATGTAATTTCATATAAGTGTTGATTGTTTTCTAATATAAAGTATTGATCATAATTAATGAACCTTATTCATCTTCCATAAATATTTAAATCATAATAAATAAACTCTCATCATTTTCATAAATATTTCAATTTATTGGGTTTCATATATATGATCTACCACCTAAAATAATGATCATCCCCTTATTGTTACTTTTATTATTAGGCATCTTCATCGGTTGACATTTATTGGATGTTGGATTTTGCTAACCGACCCGATCCAGTTAACATTGGATAACCGATCCAATCCAATAGATGATTGGACCGGTTTGATTCCATCCATTGGATGCTTTATTAGATGTCCATCAGCCATCCAATGGATGATCCGATGAGATTGGATCTATTTAGTGTGTTAATTCAATCCAATTCTTTTAACAATGATATAAGTTAATTAATCACTTTTAATATATGTTAAAACAAACACAAGGAAAGTTAAAAATTCAAAGTCTCACATAAAACAAATTCCAATTTAAGCAATTTGAAAATAAATTAATTGAATGATAAATTAATTGAATGATAATTGGATAGTGATTGGATGGTCATCGGATGATTAATTAGATGTTGATCGGTTCGGTTTTGGTCGGTTCTAGACTGTCATTCGAGAACCGACCGATCCAAACTGGATGTTGAAATTTTCAATCCGATCTGATCCAATTATGGTCGGTTAGTTCTAACGGAATCAGTCGGTTCCAAATGCATCGGTTGATTTTTTGCACACCCCTAATTATTATCATCATCAATCAGATCAAATATTTCATCATATTATTATAATTATTTAAAAAATAAAATACAAAAAATACAAAAAATACAAAAATGGAAATGGAAATGGAAACAAAGATAAAATGTCAAAGGGGGAGGTATATGTTGGCATCCAAACATCATAAAATATGACCATTTTGTTTTCATGTATTTATAAGTCAACACAAAAGGTTAGCCCAAATCCACTCCCAACTCTTACTTGCCTTCTCTCCCTTTTTTCCTATCTGCCCATCCACCTTTTTTATAATTAATTTAAAAACGATTTATCTGTCGGGTACATTTGAACTGTGTAAAACGTTTTTTTATATCAGATGTTCATAATAAGATATGATAATATCAGTAGATTGGAATACGAGTTTTTCAGTTTCTAATTTGAAGTGTTCATATTGTTTTTTTTTTTGGGGGGTCAAAATGGATGATTTTTGTGTCATCCAAACATGTCGGTTTGTGTTGAGCTGAATTATCCAACTTTTTGTCTGTTTTGTTGAATAACTGTTTGTATTAAATGTGATTTATAAACATATTATAAAAAATAACAGTTTTATTTTGTAATAAAAACATTTAAGAAATTGTAACTGTAGTACAACTTTTAACCTTTTTAACCATTTTTTCGTTTTGCAAATCAAATGGTTTAATGTAAATGAGGTAGTTTTGTGGTTTATAGGTATTTTGACGAACGAATAACCCAATTGGTAGACTGTAAATGAAACAATAGGAACGCGGGGAACATTCGTCAACTTCTAACACACGTAAATTTTGATCTACAATGAGTTAACGTCTTACAATCATTTGATGGGCAAAACGGGGATCCCAAATTAAATCCTTCATAAACGGGGTCTCACTATACCAAAAGCGAGAGAAACCTTATCCCTTTCTTTTCTTTTTTTGCTCCCATGTCGCCACACAAAGGGCATGGGGACTTAAAAAGGGGGGATTCTATCAACTTGTTCCGACCTGATATTGAGTCAAGTGTGAAATACCTCCTCACATATGATTCATATGGTGTAGATTCCGTGTTGGACCAGTCAGGATGACCAATAATCAACCTTCCTACGTGACTCGTTTATGAAACCTTGAAGATCAACCACAATAATTCATTGTTTCTCTATAAAGTGAGCATTAATACTGTCTTTACTTCCTACATAAGGACACGAGACCTTACACAATCAATTTAAACGACCAATCAGTTGTTATAAATAAATGTTTATAAATATGCATGAAAATTGAAAAATAAAATAGGTACGAAAGTCAAACTTTTTATTATAATTCATGCTATTTGAAGTTATATATTGAATTGTGAATTGCTAAAAAGTGAAACAATATTCGAGCAAGAAACTTGAATTTGCCACCTATGTGGTTGAAAATAAATAGTGTTCAACCATAATGTTTGGATGGTAACCTATCTTCATAAATATTAATGCATATATACATACACACACATATATGTATATTTATATATAGATTTGGGATCATGTGAGTACAATAGTTTTTTGTGAGACTCGTAAGACCAATTCTCAACCCTTGGATTAGATCTACACTTGGATTAGATCTACAATCTGAACATTAATAATCACAAATTTACCACGAGACTTCTCAATAATCAAAAAATTCTCACCGTGCAACTTTAGACCATTATATCATTAGCTTATAAAGTTGATCAATGAACATAAATT